CCCCCCCCCCCCACCTCTTTCCATCCCCTTTCAATGACCAAGCCCTCCTCCATGTCTCAATACACTCTCCGTGAATGGCTAAGAGTCAAATGTCCCCACAAGTGCCAGCCTTGGAGGAAAGGACAAGAAACTAAACCCTTAGATAATCCTCTTGATAATTAGCCCCTAAATAACTGAATTAAGTCTTTTCAGAGAGACTGGAAATGCCACAATTAGAGAACTTTGTTATAAATAAAATTTTGTTTTGGTTGGACTTAACTCTAAATCTCATTAATTATTTGAAGTGATTTAAATTATTGCTGCTATTTTACTTTCAAAAATAAGTCTGAGCTTTGCATTTTATTGCAAGCAAATATTCTGAACCTCGAATACTAAGTAAAGGACTACTGTGTTACTATCACTCCTAATGAAGTTACAAATAAAACCTAACTGTGTTGTCTTTACCGCTGCTCAGCAGATGCACTTTGGGCAGCAGGAGGAACTAGGGAAGGATTCAGGAGGCTGCGCAGGAGGCGGTTCACAGCCCTGTCTCTGCCACTGATTACAGCAACACTTGTAACTCTCCCTCTCTTCTCCTTCAAGATCATAGAACCCGCAGTTACAGCCCCTCAGGGGATGGCCCCTGCTGGGAGAATGGAGCCTCTACACTGGAAGCCAAGCAAATGCTTCTACCTTTCACCAGTGGCAAGGACATGCGCAAACCCGGAGCAGGAAGGCTGGGCAGCTGGGGCCCTGCCTTGGAGTAGGTGCAGCAGGTAACACAAGCCCATTGCTACCCTACCCCAGTATCAGTCCTCCTCAAGGGTCATGGAAGCCGGAAGATCCCCGCCAATTTCTACTTCATCTCTCTGGTCTTAACCACACCCTTCTTTAGCCTGTCTTTTTTATGAAGTTGTTCTAGGAGGAATAATACATTGAGACATTAACACTTTGGTGGGAATTAACGAGGGAGTCAAGGAAGGCTGCCTTTGAAAGGAAACCTCAGGAGAAAACTGTCATTACTTTACAAGTCTTGCTTATGTCTACTAAATATAAACCAGTGTCACCTCTGCATTGGGTCATAGAGAAAAATCAAAGTAATCTGGCTCATCTCTATCAATCTTAGGAAAACGCATCACAGTTTAGGAAAATACCATATACTGGTGACCCCTCTTTAGGAGTTACGGTAAAATGGTAGAGTGCATTAGATGGCATGGTCATCATGCAATACTGAACCCCTCTTCCACCACTGGAGGTGTGCTCCAGGCTGAGCTGGTGCTCACGTACAAGGCGGGGTGGCAGGGGAGTGCAAACCAAGTCCCTGAGGCCCATCCTGGAATGACTGAGCAGTTATCTATGCTGGCAGCTCTCTCTAAATTTAGGAGATTTTGGACCTCTGCACTGACTTTTCCACAGTATATGTTTATAGGCCTAACAGGGTCTCCAATGCCAAATGTGCACTTCAGAACATCAGCTGAGGATGGACACTGCGAACTAACACGTTAGTACTCTTGGCATACCATACGTCAACATAAGCATCTTTGGCTATAAATCACGGAGCTGACCTTCCTGTGGGCAGGTAAGTACTACTCCATGGAGCTCTGGAAGCAGAAGCTACGACGGAGATGAAGATAAAGAGACAGCAAGTACATTTCACACTTTGCGGATGGCCAAAGCTTTCAGATCAGACAGAAAATACGTCCATGGTCTGGGTTGCTAGGCTTCTCTCTGGTAAGCCCATTAACTCCCTACTTGGTGTAGTGACCTCTGTGCCCACCAGATGGCAGGAGCTCCTCGTCGCTTACATGTGTGGTTCTCAAAGTTTGATCCTGGACCAGCAGCAATAGCTTTCTCCAAGATAATTAGAAATGCAGATTCCTGCGTCCCACCCCAGCTCTACCGAACCCGACACTCTGAGGGAGGGTAACAGCCGTTTGTTTGCGTTTTAACACCCCAGGTGTCTGCTGCAACCTGAAATCGGGTCTGCAGCACAACATTAATAAAGCTCTTCTTGCAAGAAGAAAACCATACTGTGCCTCACACACAGTAGATTCTCAAACCCTTGATGAGTTAATAAGATAGGCCCTAAGAGGTTAAAGAAGACCGATCTGAAGAGGAAAGCTTGCAGTAGGGGACTCCCTGCTCAAGTTGCATGAGGATGAAGCCACGTCACCTCCCGGCTCACCAGCCCTGCGCATTGCTGAAGCTTCTGCCACTCTGCAATTCTTGCCCAGTAAATAAAACCAACCTCGAAGGCTGGGGAGTGGGGATATTTCTTGTCAGTAACACTAAAAAAACTCTTACCATGGGGGTGCAAGGTAAAGTTGGGGGGTGGAGAGGGGGTGGGGAGTTATTAATGAAACAAGGTGGGCCAAGAGCTGATAGTTGCTCCACCTGAATGTTCATTACGATAGTTTCCCTATGCACATGTTTGTATTTTCCATAAAGAAGTTTTTAAACCAGAAATAACAAGTCTTTTAAGAAACAGTTGAAATTTTTAGGAATTAAATATGCTACAATATTTCTTAGCTATTGAGAAGAGTGGATTTTAATTACTGCAGACATATAAGGGGAAGAAATGAGAAAATGAGCCAGAGAAGACTACGATCAGCAACACCTCATTGTCATAAAAATGACAGGCTAAAGAAGCAAGCAGAAAAATTGTTAGTGAAGAATGAAGAAAGCAGGCTGGAAATAAAGATTGCTTACTTACCTAGAAGTCTAAAGACAAAAACTGTACACTTGAACTTCAATAGGATCAGCATACTGGGAACAACAATCAAGCTTTGAAGAAAATGTGACTAATCTCCTTAAGTGTAAGCAAGGCACCACAACAAATACTATATCGAACTACAAATGGTACAGTGAGAGCCGAAAGGCTCAGCTATACATATAGAGACAACAAAAAGAGAGGAAAAAATAAATTTGTGAATCCCAGAACTCAAATAAGAAAGAAGAACAGGAGCAGCTACCCAGCATTAAAATGTAAATGCAAAAGCAAAATGAATCCATTAGAGAGAAAAAAAGAAAAGGACAAGTCAACTGCACTGAATAAACTAATAGAGGGCAAGAAAAGGGAATCATCATATATTCAGGAAATACTAAATAAGTGATGAGCTGCCTCTTGGAGGGAAAAAACAAAGCAAACATTCCACCCGGTCCTCTTCAATATCGCTGTGGTTCCAGCATAGCATGACGCTGCATGTTGGCTGACCTGTGCCTTTTTCTTGACTCATCAGTAGTCACTGGTGCCTTTTTTTTCATATGGGAACTAGAGCAACAGCATCTAAACTGATCCACAATAGTACACCAAGTTTTGTCACATTAAACCATATTATATACTGCAAAGCTTAACTTTTGAAATAATTGAGTGATCCATCAATTGACTAGCACAACAATTACATACCTTCAATTTTATTTACTGAAAGGTCCAACTTCTGTAGGTGAACATATCCACAGAGAATGCTAATGTCAATTAAATCACAACCCTGAGAAAATAAAAGGTAAAAAAAGACTGTTTGCTTTAGCAGGTTGGTACTCAGCCTTCTCACAACACCTGGAAGAGCTGACACACAGAAGTCTAGAATTTCTTTCAGAAGTATAGCAGAAGTGAGAGAACAAAATCTGAAGCCTACTACTAATAGGACCTTAAAAGAGATGACAAACTCCATCAAAAAGTGCATTCCTTTGAAGAAAATAATAGCTTAGAAAATTAGTGTTGTTAGCAAGAATACTAACATGAAAAGGCAAATTAAAGCGGTATCGTGAAGCCCTTTAGAGCAGTTTTATTATTTAAAAAATAACATATAATAGCAATAAAGCCAAAGCCTTTATCAAGTAGAAGAAAAGAAAAAGCAAATTCCTAGAATTTAAATGAAATGTTGAAGAGCTCACATCTAATCAAGAGATCATTAATAACAATACCACCTACACTTTCTCAGGGTTCCTTTTCAGAGCTTCTTTACAGTAATCTCATCTGATCGAACAAAACTGTGAGACCCCTGGGGCAGATTATCCCCAGTTTGGAAATAAAGAATGTAAGGGAGAGAGGGGTATGTAAATAGTTTGAAATCCCACAGCAAGTTAGCACCAAAGAAGCAGATCCAGGTCTCATGAATGCTTGTCCAAGAGTCTTTTCATGAAATCTCGATCTAGAGAACTTCAAGATGGGTTGGAAGGGAATTTGGTTCCTGGGAACAGACTCATATTACTAGTTTATGTTGCAATGTCAGAATCAGAAAAAGCCAACCAATGAAGTGTCATAAGCAAATTATCAAATGTAATAATGATAAGAATGTTTAATGAAGGCAACTAAATAGTAATAAATAAATCAATACTTACTGAAAACCTATTATGTATAAGGCGTTGTGCATGATGGGATATACAATGATGCGATAGAGCTATACTGTGCCCTCTAGAAACCTGTGACTTTGGGAGAGAAGCTGTATATACAAGTAATCAAAGTAAAAAAATAGTGTACAACATTAAGATATAAGGAATGAAAAAACTCACCCAGCTAGGCAACCCTAAGAAAGCATATTCAGTAAGACAGGTTATTAAGGCAAAGTAATTCAATGTGTAATACTGCATATGTTAGAAGGTCAGTGGCAAAGTAAGTTAAACTTCAGTCCATCTAGCTGAAATAAGATTTAAAGGATTGCTTTTTCTTTTTTTGGAGATCAATTTAAGGCATAGCACTATGTACATAAGTAGAATATTGATTGAAGGGGACGTGTATAGCGATGCACTGGCTGCTGGAATTACCTACCATTCCAGGGCCTAACACAGGGTAATGCACACGGGGTTGCTCCCTGTAAGTTACTGCCTAAGTAGCTGAGTCATCCTTAAAATGTTTTGAAGTGAAAATAGTAAAAGATTAGAATCTTCATATGCTGTTCTCAAAGGACATGCCATAAAACCAGCATGAGTGAAAAGAGCTTTCTTGGGTAGTTTACTACTTCAAATTCAAGACGGAACAGGGTTATGAGTTATACATATATGCTTTAGCCAAAGTATGGTGCTCAAGCAAAATTCCAGTGGGCTTTTTTCACCTGTGTTTCTGCATTTACTCTGCAGCTCTCCAAGGAATATTTAATGCTTTACAATATCAGGAAGCAAGAAGAGATTATTTTTCTATGACTACAGAGAAACAAAGGGAGGAAAGGACTGAAATGCTCTGAGTATTCTGCTCTTATAGCTTCTCTTGTAAAATTGGAGCCAAGATTCTGTGCTTGTATCAAAATCTTGACAATTAACGAATAACAATACATTTTTTCTTTAATGATGGGTTTCTGTTGGAAAGCGAGCTATAGCTTAAAGCTACTTATTTCTTTATATGCTCAGAGGGGGAAAAAGTCAATACCAAAATACCTTGTTCCCTGCAATTTAGATATAAATTCTAGTCCTGGCACTGATCAGAGAGAAAACTCTTTTTAAAGAGCTTTTGATTGGTTTTACAGAATCAAATTCAACCTCTGGAAAGAAAGCATTGATTGCTATAATATAGACTAGTTAAGATGAAAGAAACAGGCTGTGAAGAGAATGAAAATGAAGTGATTGGGGGCCGATTTCTGGGTTGTCCAGGGTTCTGTGGCTTCTAATATTTACATCAACAACTCTTTATCACTTGTGTCCATCAAATGCAAGACTCTTGAGATCTGGGGCCACCACAAAAGCTATTAGTACCAGAGAAAACGGATATGATCCAACCAGTGTCAGAGTGTAGCCAGCCAGGGGACCTCGCCATACTCACTGATAAAGTCAGATTGAGGTAGACCTGTTCAGTCCCACAGCCTGAGCGCCCCAGTTGGTGGAGTGCCTCGGCCACGACCTCCTCTCTCAGGACCCCATCAAATTCCTCCTGCAAAAAAACCCCAGAGAGGTGGACAAAGAAAGGACTTCCATTAGAAGGGAAACAATCCACTCCGTCATATTCAGCACTTATTTAGTGTATTACACATCCAGGAGCTGAGCCCTCTGAAGTTTACCAGCCCCAAAAAGAATTCTGTGTTGAGGACACATATAGATTACCTATAATTAAATGAGTATTTATCAAGTCAGTGTTTTAACTGCCACCAAATTTTCAGGTAGTCATTTGTACTAGGTATTCAAAATGGAATGAGCACAAGAGCAGTAGAAGCATCAGTGTTAGTGGCGATGACTACAGTGAGTTCTTCTCTGTTCCAGGCCTTGTGCTAAGAGCTCCCAGTGGGTCAACTCATTGAATCCTCTTGACAACCCTGAGGCAGGCACTCTTGGCTCCATCTACAGATGAAGACCCAAAGGCTTCCAGACCTTAACTTGCCCAAAACTGCACAGCTAGTAAGTGACGGAGACTGAATTCAAGCCTAAATCTGTCCCCAAGGCAAGTCTAACCATAACACTGACTGCTTGTCCATAACCCAAATGAAAACAATTAGTTTTCTTTCTAAAACCGATTATTTTTTCCTAGAGGAAACAGGTCCTCAATTCCTTCCTACTGGATAATTTTGCTGGATTCATACAATTTACAAGATTTATTAAAAGAGTACTAATGACTTTTACAAGGAGTTAGGCTTTTGGTGTGTAGACAGCCATGGACCAGTGGTGACCCAACACGTCCTTTCCCTAATAACAAACAGAAGAGATAACAGGTGGATCTGGCCTGTATTTGTGCAGCCATCAACTCCATAATGAACAACACATTAACACTAACATCAGCCTGAGGACATAAAATACAGTAATCCCATTAGCCGCACCAATAGAACTAAGCATGATCTGCATGCGAATCATGGTGGCAAAATACCCTTTCCAGGTCTTCTGCATTAACAGGAACCAACAATAATGCTCAGGCTGCTGGTGCTGAGGACATAATTATGCAGGCTTGTGCTGCTCTACAGAGTTTCTCTCCTTCAAATTCCACTAACCTAGGGAAGCAAATACCATTCACACGGAGATAGTGCACAGGCTTTGGGGCTGGGCAGGTTTCACTGAAACTCCAGATCTACCATTCTGGATATGACTTTAGGGAGATAAAGTTTTCTCTCAGCCTCATATTCTTCATCTATAAATAGGAAATGTTATTATCCACTCTTAATGTTTTAGAGAGAATGAAAACAATGTATATAAAGCTTCATACAGTGCCTAGAGCATAGCAAGTGTTCCCAATAAATGACAGTTGTTACTGCTGATTGATGGAGTTGAAAAATCCACACCTCAGTGTTCCATTCATCCATACCAACTAACCTGTTCACAAATGGGGTAAAGATAAAAATAAAATTTCAATTTCTTACAAAAGCCCTAGGGAGGAATAGGGATGGAGGTATTACTTTCCCTCCAAAATTTCTACCTAAACCTCTGAAGTTTACTTGACCACCCTCTCTATTTCCTGGATATGAGAAGATACTGCACCTTACTAATGAGGAGGAGGATGTCTGTTTTTTAATGCATCCATTGATATGGAGACTGGCCACAGTCAGCATTTTCCCAGACGTCCATGGCAAGACTCCCATGGCAACCCACTCACACCCTGGCAGCAACCCTCATAGTCTGTGCCTGTCCCTTCTGGCCTTTGCTCAGACCCTCACAAGCCCTACCTTTACCTTGGGTGGCTTCAGAATCTTTAAGGATGACCATTCAACACCCCTACTACTCCAAGCAAACACACACACACACATTTCTTTATTTCCTTAACTCCAGACACCTTAAAATTGATTTCCACCCAACTTCAGCCACTCACTCCCAGGGCCACCCTGGATCTAGGCATCATGCTAAACTGCTCTACCTGAGACAGCTCAGACCCAAGTATTCCATTCTCTGACCCCACAACTTAGCCTATTCTTTAACCTTTCCAACAGCTACTGAACTTGTTCCTTGATGACAACAACATCTCCAGTCTGTTCATCCTTCCTTCCCAGAATCTGTCTGTTCCCTCCTCACTATAATTCCTCCCTACTGGGCATCACATGGGCAATTTCAATGACTCTCTCACATCTGACTCCTTGACCCCTGACTGCAACTACCACATACATACCCAAACCTGAATCAAGTTCACCATCAATTCCCACACTGAAGCTTGATGATGTCCATCTTTCATTTGGTATAAAGATCTTTAAACATGCTAAGCACACAGCAGCTAGTGTGCTAGGTTCGGTAGACAAAATTATGAGTAAGACCTATCCTTAAGGGATAGCCAGGTCAGTCTGGGAGACAATTTCAGGAGTTTGGTAAATATCACGATAGAGGTAAGCAGGGTGCTTTGACTATCGGCAGGGCATCCACTTTATATCAGCTCTAATGGGAAGGAGGTTAGCAAAAGCTTCCTGGGGAACAGAGCGATTAAGTTGAGTCCCAAAGTTGTGAGTTACTCTGGAAAGGGGAAGAGAGGCAGAAAAGAGGACTAAGGAGGGTAACTGCAGGCAAAGGGCAACACGTACAAAATCTCAGAGGCAAAGGGGAGCATTGGCAGAACAACAGAGGGTTCAAAATAGCTGAAGTATAAGAGCAAAGGGGGGAGCCCAGGGCCTGGTATGTGGGAAGTGTTCAAACATTGGGTGAGTGAATCAGTGGACCTACTTCTCCCCCTGAGCTGCTGGGTGGGGTGGATAAGGCCCCACAACCATGCATTCCGGGGCCTCTCCTAAGCAGCTTCTAGCTGGGCCTCGGTGCTGTTACAGTCTCCTGTTCACCAGCTGCCTTTCAGCTCCCCACCATGGCTCATGACCACCCAGACTGTCATCACGGTCCTCTGTCTGGTGCCTCCACTCCTTGGTCCTTGCTCTCAGCAGCTGCCCTCTTCTGCTTCTGGGGCAAAGCAGAAATCATCAAACGTAACCCCTCCCCATTCTGCACTTGTCCCACTGCCTCTCAGAGGAAACCTGCTCCTTCCCACACACACACCTCCCCTCCCTCTGTTCCACAGTGACCCTTCCCAGGGACCCTCAATTTTGCCCTCTTTTGCCTGTAATTTCAACCAGTCACTCTCCACTGTCATTCTCCAACCTGTCACTTCTCCTGCTGTACTAATATGGATGTCTGTTCTGGCCTAAAGAGGCTCCCTTCAGCCCTGCATGTTCCCTTAGCTATGGCTGTAGTTTCCCTTAGTAACCAGGCTCCTTCGGAGTTGCTTTTTTATGCCTTAGTTCCCCTTTGGTCACCTCCCACTCACTCACACCAGCTAGGCCTCTGCCTTCGCCACATCCCTAACCACACAGGCCAAGGTTTCCAATGACCCCCAAATAGGCCAAGCTAATGAGCAGTTTCTAGGACTGTTCCCACTTGACCATTGGCAACACAGCTCATTCCCGCGTTATAAAGACTCTTTCTTGCCTTGGGTTCCCTACCATATGGCTCTTCTCTCTTCTACTTCTCTCACCGGTCCTTTCCAGTTTCCTCCTGATTCCTCTTATCTGCTTGTCAGTTAACGACCTCGACTCTCAGGGTTCTTTCCTTGGCCCTCCTCTTCTCTTCTCTTCCTGGATGATTTTACAGACTCCACTGCTGACGATTCCCAGGTCTCCCACCCTGAGACCTCCTCCTCTGATTTCCAGAGTCGTATGACTCACATTCCAAGTCCTCGGTGCCCAGCTCCACCTGCCCCTGTTTCCCAGTGCGATTAATGGCCTTAATATTCCTCCGGACCATGCCACAGACCTAGCTAGCAGTCATCCTAGACTTGTATTATTTAATTAGTAACTGTCAATCCTAAATATTTTAAATGTCAACTTTAGCTTCTTTTCCATTCCCACTTCCACTGCCGTAATCCAGACTTCCATCGCTCCCCATAGATATTGCTAGTCTCACTGACCTCCCTGCCCCCAGTCTCACCAGTCTCTATTCTAATCCCACTTGACCCCTGAGCAGTTCCCCACTGCTTAAAGATCCCAACCCACAGTCTGTGCAAGAGCACAAAGGCCCCCCAATCTGGCCCTTACCTCAGCTGTTTTTTCTGCTCTCACCTATAAGTCATCAGTAGGCCTGCCCACACACCACCTCTCCATCCAGGCAAGGGTCTACTTTCCTGGCAGTCTGCCTTGATCCCCACAATCCAGCCGTCTTCTGTACACATCCCTGTACGTATGCAATACTTTGGATGCTGAATGGCTGTGATTTGCTTGCATTCTTATCTGACCTTGGGTGCAGGGACCATGCATGTCCTCAGTCACGGTCTCATCTTCTCTTGTTATTGCTGCTACTTTGCATTATATCCATGATTTTTGAAAGCCACCTCTGACACTCTATTAAGAACTTTAACATAGACTTTCTTACTAAGTTTGATATTCATAACTATCCATGAGTAGGCATTATTATACCCTCAATTAAGTTACTCCCCAAGAGTAGTTTGCAAGCCTCAGACACGACTCTTGGGCCCAGACACTTCTGCCCTATCTAGGCAAGAGTGCTTCTTACATAGCAATCAGTCAATAAATGTTTGTTCAAAGACCGCTAAATTAATTAAATCACTTGATAGGCTACAGTTCACAGATTGAAAAACATGGAAGTTATTATTATTGTATCAGTAACAGTACAAATAATATATTAATGCTGACTATATTACACATAGGTTCTCATTTAACTCTTACAGCTCTATGGGATAGGTATTAAAATTCCCATCTTACAGATGAGACAGAGAGAGGTGAAGTAACTTGTTTAAAATGTCACAAGTAATAAAAGGCTTTACACAAATCTTTTATTTCAAAGGCAGTATTCTGGCTTTGCTGGTCTGTAGTACCTCCCTTAAGTTCATAAGGGCTTCTCAATCTAAGGCTAATTGTATTATACACACTTAGTAATCACTGTGACTTTCACATCATTATAAATCTTAACTAGGCTAAGATATGGAAAATAAATCATTTGACATGGAAGTCCAAATATTTCCTTTTAAGACTTTCGGTATATTCAGTGTATTAAAACTTACAAGATACTCTAAAGAGCTAAAATAGAATGTGAGTGCACAAAATAAATATTAATATCTAGAATGTAAATGGAAGAAATAATAAACTTTTCCACACAGAACCTACAAGCCAAAAAGGAATAATCAGTCCAAGTCAACCCTCTCTCTGGTTTGTTAACCACGTACTGAAGACAGATTAACAATGCTACTAATGAACCCTGTAGCTGAAGAGCATGCGTTAATTAGAATAATAAAGTAAACTGGCGATTCATTTGTGAATTCCTTTGGGGTGGAAGCTGGTGGAAACCATACAAACATCTCAAAGTTGTAAAAACACTGCTACAGTTTTGCAAAAATCACTGCTAACAGTAGTAAAATCAGCAAAAGATAAAAAAGTAGTAATTTTCTATGGCCCACTTTGAGTAAAACTAATGTGTGACCAGGCCATGTAGAGGGAGGCAGAAGAGGAAAGTTGAAATGGGAAATGAAGGTGGTAAAAAGGGCCAAAATGTCAAAAGTGAATAAAAGGACATTTCAGAAGAAGGGAACCCAGGTGAGGGAAGAATTTAAGTGGTTAAAGGCAGAATCAGAGTAACAGAAAACACTGCAAGTTACAGAGCGGAGAAAATAAGAAACAGGACACTTGAAGAAAGGAGTCTGTAAACGAGAACAGGCATAACAAACAGAAACATATTTGGTCTCAAGGAGGAAAGGTGACTAGGAAAAGGGGCAAAGATGCAAAGAGGAGAGGCCAGAAGAATATGAGACAAGGGGATAATGGAATCATTCTATTTCTCTGTATTACATTTACTTCTGAAAAGAATCTGAAGCAATTTATATTATGAAAGAAGAGGCAAGAGGAAAGAAAAAAACGATTGAAATTTAGAAAAATATTGATTCTGAGTTTCCTAGCAGCCACAACAAAAAGGGAAACCCAGCAGTTTATTGAGAGGGGGCAAATCAATTGATGGTTTTGAAAGAAAGAAAACAACATATTAAAAACCAAGAGAAGGGTGTGATGTGAAGTGGAATGGGACAACACAACAACAACAAAAAATGGGCAACGGGCTAAGAAAGGAACAGGATGACAGCAATAAGTGTTAAGAAAGAACTGTGATTGGGTGGTGTTTCGAAGAGGTATTTTAGAAAATTTGTATTAATGTGAATGGCTAAGCCTCCACCAGGCAATACAGATGGGAACGCTGCAAACATCTTTCACATGCTAAGGTACTGCCAAGGTAAGCGAGCTGCGTGAACATTCTAAAGCTCCTTTCTCTCTCTGTGTGTGTGTGTGTGTGTGTGTGTGTGTGTGTGTGTGTGTGTCTGTGTGTGTCTGTGTGTATGTCGCTGGTATAATGCAACATACACCCCTAGCAATCGCTTACCGTACTATTTCAGAACAGTACATTTCCCCCCCAGAGGATGAAGGGACTAGAGTGGGGAGCAGTGTGGGGAGTACTGCATAATCGTGGGGAAATGTGCAAGGGATGTCGAGGACGAGCTCTGCCTATTCACAATACTTTCAAGGTGTAATTTTGAGAAAGTTGAAGCTATAACTCATATACAAATAGATACTTCGTAACGATGCTGTGTAACTTGACTCGTAAGAAACCAAATGAGCTAACGAAAAATAAGAGAGACTCGGAAATATTTCAGGCAAAGAATGAAGAAACGGCTTAACCCAAGTGGGAAGAGAAGAGGGGGCGCCTCGGGGCGGTCAGGGGGAGACGCCCCCAGAGGAGAGGGAGGGGTCAGTGGGCTCAGCCGCGGGGCGGCGGGGGGCGCACACCTCCAAGTTCGGCATCTCGGACTCTGAGGACTCCTCGGATTCCGCCTCGCCCTCGCCCTCGCCCTCCTCCTGTGCGCCGGCGTCCGCCTGCGGAGAGCGGCGAATGAGCTCCTGCAGCAGACAGGAGGAGGCTTCGCGGAAGTCACCCTTCGGTCTCTGCCCCACGGGAAATGAGGACAAGCATGACTGACGCTCTTTTTCTGAGGGCGACTGTATCGACTGAGCTGCATGGAGTGAACCGCCCAAGCCTCCCGGGAGGGAGGAAGACATCGGCCTCAGGGGACCCCTCCCGGAGGTCGCCATCTTGTTTACCGGGGTTGCCTAGGAGACGGACGCCCAGGGCGGAGCCGCAAGGGATTCTGGGCTGTAGTCTTCGCCCCTGCGCGCCCCCCGGCTTTCTAACTCAGCCGCTAGTGCGCCACTTTCCCTTTCTTTTTTTCTGCAGTGCCCCCCGCCACGATTTTTTCCTCTTTAGTTCGTTCAGTCGCTGGCTTTGTTTCTCTTCTTTTTCATTTTCACCTCTTTTCTCCGCATTTTTTTTTTTTTTGGTCTCCAACTGTCTTGTTTTCTCCCCAATTTGAGGCTCCTCTTAGAGATTTTTCATCCTTTCCTGCTTCATTCATAAACGTTCTTTTTGCAGCACTGTACTTTCGAAATGTTAGGTGTCCCTAATGCTCGCTCTCGGAAAGCTAGTAACACTGAAATTCTACGCTAAGTACAGCTCAGTCTTAGGAGATGAGGGTGTGTGTAAATGAAATAGAAGGCATGGCTTCCGTCCTTGTGATAGTAAAGAGAAGTAAGGAGAAGCTACCAGACAACGACTGAGAGCTGATCTGCAATTGATTTACATCCCGCCCACCCCTCCACCGAAATGATAAGCTATGTCCTTGGGGAGAAAAACTAGCAGTGGGCTAATAATCCAAACAGAGAGGAAAAAATGTCAAATTGACATTGAATCTGAAACCCTCTGAAAAGCTATTAGCATCCCATAAATAATTGCATTAGTCAAGTGACCTGCATTGTTAATTATTTTTATCTTGTTGCATAGGTTCTCTTCACAGTTCTAAAAAATACTCTTGCATGATTACAAAGCATGATGGTATGCTAGTGTGATTTTATGTGACACAAATCCACAGCCTTGAGCTCTACAAAGTAGACATTCTATAGAAAAGCAGAATGGAGATTACAGTAACTACTATTGCCATAGTGATGACAATAGAGGTCCTTGCAGGGAAGTCGCCCTCATCCTCCTGGCCTTATAGGGTCTTTTCTCCATGCTCCGGTGATAGCAGTTGCAGATACAAAATGATCCTGTCAATGGCTGCCAGGGGAGGAGAAAAACATCCTTATGGACACCATCACACTGACTATTATCATTCTCAGTGCTTGAGGGACCGCTAAAACTGACATAAAGCTTTCAGAATTACCTTCCTTCATTATCTTGCTAGTCATAAATGGAAAGGCCACAGTGAAAATATCTCTTTTTGCTAGGCTCATCTTTCTGCTTGCTTATTTCTTTTTCCAGTGGGTAGCCGCTCCTCCAAGGGGATTTTCCCCCATCCTCACCCCCATAGGAAGTGGCTCTAGCTAACTGACAGAGGGAAGAAGGAGGCAGAAAGCATAAAACTGGAAACCCAGTGTGTTTTTGTTTTTGTTTTTTAATTAACTTGATCAGATCTAGCAAGCAAGCTTTGCTGATGTCTATCAAGTAAAGTGTCTTAAGGCAGTGTTAGGACCAATCAAAGAATAATTTTCAAAAAGTTAAAAAACATGATTTTCATATAAAAATAGAATGAAACATGTGAAAGATTTTATTCAGCTCATTAATTAATGATAGAACCAGTAAAATGGTTAACAGGGTATTATTCAGAGTCAACAAACAAATTCTGAAATAAGTTCACTAAGCTGAAACTGGGTGACACCCTGTAGGACATTAAACTGTAGCCTTTGGAGTTAATGTTTCTAAATGTTTTGTTCCATTTCACATTCACATCTACCCTCTGTCTATCCCCATTTAATAGATGAGGTAACTGAGAAGTTACCTTAATTATTCCAGGGATGTTAATTAACTGACCCAAAGTCAAATGGTGGTGTTGAAATCCAAACCTAGAATGACCAGCACTGTCTATCTTCAATTACTAATTCTGCAGGTGGAAAATGTGAGTCAAGATAAAGGTACACAGGAGGTCTCAGAAGAAAAAACATTTATCAGTTAATATTCTTAAGTATAAATAAAAGAATTCACTCAGAGAATGACCCTTTCATATAGAATCCCAGCATGTCAGAACTAGAAAGATCTTAAAAGCTCATCCTATTCCAACTCTCTCTATAAAAGAAGAAATTGATGGCCCTGCAAGGATAGCGACTTGCCCAAAAGCACCTGATTTATTAGTGCTAAACAAGAATGAGAGTTTAGACCTCTAGTGCTCAGTCCTGGCTCTTGCTAGTTCACCAAAATCCTCTCTAGGCCAAGATTGCATGAATAGAATCCTTACTTTGGGATTCTGGGCATGAAAGTAGAAAACTTTGTCTTTATAAAAGTTATTTTATCAGGTAGAGAAAAAAGAATTAGGCAGAGAGAAGAGGTGAGGGGAGAGAATATTTTGTCTAAACTCTTCTCATTAGCATAAAACATCAATACTCACTTCCATTCATTCACTGCTTCCTGTAAACCAGGCCTGTGCTAAGTGCTGTACACATATCTCAGTTAATCATTCCAGTGGCTCTCTTCAAATATTAACTCATTCTATCCCTACAAGGACCCAACAAGGTAGAGATTAATATTATTATCCCCATATTATAGATGAGGAAAGATAGGCACAGAGAGATTATGGAACCCACCCAACCCACTTTGTCACACAGTGGGCAAAATTCGGACTCAAATGGAGAGAGTCTGGTTTCCCAGTCCACATCTTTAATCAAAACACAGTACTTCCATTCAACCACTTGAGTAAAACCTTATGGGAGGATGTTATACACTGAATGTTTGTGTTTCTCCCGCCCCATATTCAATTTATGTTGAAAATCTAATCCCCAATGTGATGATATGAGGAGGTGGGTCCTCTGTGGGCTACCAGGTGACTAGGGTGGAATCCTCATGAATGGGATCAGAAGAGGCCAGAGAGCTAGCCCCTTCTTTCTGCCTTGTGAGGATACAAGAAGGCAGAAGTCTGCAACCTGAAGGAGGTCCTCATAGAACTTGAACCTGGCCCCCAGATCTGGGACTTCCAGCCTCTAGGACTTTAAGTAAATTCCTATTGTCTATAAACTATCTAACCCATGGTACTCTGTTATAGCAGCACAAACTACGACAGGGGAGAACTTTAAATGTGAGGTAATTCAATATACTAACATCATACCTTTTATGTTTTGTTATCCTTTCCTATGAGGAAGGGATGATGCTTCATAAGGATGTTTACTATCTAATAACAGCCTAGTGTATCTATAGACATTAAGCAAATAATTATACAAATAATCATTTATTTCCAATTGCCACCTTAACCAAGGGCTAAGGAAGGAAAATATAGGTACCATGAGAACATCATCTGTGGCCTTGACCCAGTATGGTGTTGAAACGTTCTTCAAAATGTCAGACAGACACTTTGAGCCTCATGATGATTATCAAAAAAGTTGAGAAAGAAGGTACAACAAATGAGGAACTTCTTTTGTTACTTTTACAGAAATAAGTGGTACTCAGATTATGATGTCATAAACTGTCTCCCAGGGCCTGATAAAATTCAGGTAGGACTTGAATGAGCCAAATAATATCTGTTCTAAGCAGCTATCAAAGGTATTTTGGGGGGTGCCCCACTGAAAGATACCCTGGATCCAATACAGGTGATGAGATCAAAGATAAAAATTGCAGTCTAGGAAGAGATAATCTTAAAAGGTTATAGACAAAGGCAGAAAAGTCAAGTCAATGATGAACTGTCTGCAAAAGAATTGCAGGCATCGAGTCATGAATAAAATCTGAACAGAGGACTAGGTAAGGATTACTGAGAATTTCTAGCTCACAGACAGAAAGGTGGATTTCATCAGGGCAGTCACAACAACTTAAGATCAAAATGATTAAAACGTTAAAATGATACCAGAAGGGACTGTATTAAATCTTTTGGAAGAAGATATGAAGACTTGAGGATGTCATGCTAGGACATTCAGAAGAAGATTGGAAAAGACCAGAAGGAATTCAGGAAGAAATCATCACAGGAGGGGGGTAGAAAGGAAAGAGAGTTTGAGAGACATGAGATTTAATAACCAAAGCATCCCAATGGCACTGATTAATAAGAACAGAAGAAAGAGCAAACAGCAGACAGGTGAATTAACTGTGCAAGAAATCCAACCATAAGCCAAGTGCTTCCAGAAATGCAATATACTTCATCTAGTTCAACACAAGTTTGGAACTGTGGTGCTTTGTGGAAAAAAGCAAATCATGCAGGCTCTGATGTAAAGCACAAGAAACACCCAGGTCACCATTATCACCAACTAATAACACCCAATATGACCATTTGATTACATAACCCATCTAAGTGGGGGTGTCTGTTTCAAGTGCTGGGGATTCAAAAAAAAAGTTAAGTCTTGGTCTCTTTATTCAAGAGATTTGAATTATGATAGGGCAGCAGGACCCAGATTTTAAAAATGAATTAAAAGTAGACAAGAGAAGATAAGTCCCATCTGACTGACAAGGAGTTAGTGTTACAGGCTTTTAGGGAGGGACTGAGTTGGAGACAGGTGCAGAGCACCCCTTCCCTTACGAGTGTTGGTGGACAGGGCTCACTCCTGGAGGCAGGTAAAGCAGTGCCCGAGGCCAGTCCGTGGGAGTTGTCAGTTGAGATAAATCTGTGTCCCAAGGCAGGAATGCTGTGCCCCATGCAGGAGGTAAGAGTTGAGCTAGGTCTTCCAGGAGGAAAGAGGTGGCCACACGGGAGGAGGAAGTGGGCAGTCCCAGAATGGAGAGTGGTACAAAGTGAGGTAAGGAGGCTGGCCTGGATGTGCTTCAGGAAGAGTCTCTGAGAAGTAATTGATGTAGAAATAACACCTGCTCACAGGAAGTTGGGAAGAAGGGGGATGGTGTTGCCTTCCCAGAGAAAAGGGGCATAAAGGAGGAAGTGGATGAAATTGCTTCATGTGGCAAAATATCTTAGTACCATCGAGGGGATGAGACTTAGGAAAAGGTGGGGAAAGATGGGCCTGGTGAGAGATTCTAACAGCCCTGAGGAAAAGGCAGGACCCTAAGCACATCTTGGTTTCATACAAAGTCCATTACATGAAGATGTTTTCCCAGAAGATTAACAGGATGCTCTGTC